CATGAAACAGCCTGTCGCCTCTAAGTGTTGACTTCAATGTTCACTTTTTATATTTACACACGCTCTATCTCTGATATGGAGCACTTTATCCCATAAATATACCACACCTTACGACTATATTTCTTCATATATATATATATATATATATATATATATATATATATATATATATATGTGTCCGTTTGAATAGATGCAAAAACGGTTGATAATGTACCGAGCGTTCATTAGAACATGAAAAAAAATATCCATAGTTACTAATCGACAACACAAATATCCTACACCTTGAAAACAACAAATTTAGATTACAGATACTAGAAGCAATCTATATTAAAAATTAAAGCCGGCACTGAACAGAATAACTCTGAATACTGCAGTAATGTTCTGAAATGCCTGTAAAGGAACATTTTTTTTTCATGCTTTAATGCGCGTGTGATCATGACATTCTAACTTAGAGGGATAATTTTTCACGTTCTAATGAACGCATAGCACATTCTCAACCGTTTTTCATTTAAAAGCATAAAAAAATAGAGTAATGAAAAACAACGCACATGTTTGTATAAATACTTATACTAATGAACAACATATAGTTTTGTACTACTTGCACCACTGAAGATGATTTTCGAATTAGATCGAAAGTACTTGGGAACTGAAAATAAAAGAAATTTAAACAGCTATAGCACATTTTTCTCATCTTTGTGTATTTGTAATGACGGTCCCAAGATGTTACATTACATTTACACAAATATATATATATATATATAATAGATAGCTCGAAAATATTTTTAAAAGAGCATACCATGATGAAAAAAGGCTCCAAAAATGATAAAATAAAGTTTTATCGTCAAAATGTTTGTTATTGTTAAGAGAAAATATCAAAGTATTTTTTGATAATTTTATTAAATTTTTGACCCTCGGAATTTAGAAAAAATTCTGTTTTTTCTTGCGTCAGTGAGTGGGCCAAAGATTAGTTTATGGATTTATAGAGTCTTTTTCTTTGTGGGGGTGGGGGAAGTTTTCGTGATTTTTTTTTTTTTTACATCTGTTACCCTCACTTAGTTAATTTTATGAAATTTCAAGAAATTTAAATTTAATCCTCTTCATTTTTGGATTAGTTAAAAGCAGAACTTCTTGGAGAATTTAAATCGTCAACTTTGTTTTAGTCAAACAAAAACACCATCAACAAAAAATCTGCTCTGAATCGTAAGATAAAAAATGAAATAAAACTCTGACATTATTTAATTAGAAAAGCTTTTAATTACTTTTATAAATAAGATACATTATGAACACTATTGTCTTAAAAAAAAAATTCGATGTATAATGAATTTTTACAAGAACTGTTTTCATTTTTTTAAATTTTAATTTTGAAGGCAATCCCTGTTTTATACATATTTCATTAAAAATGACCAATAAATTACTTCTACTGTGTTTTAATATTGATTTTCTTGTATGCTGACAAGAAATTTCTTACTTGGACTTAGTATATGCAGAATTTTTTTGTTCCAACTTATTTATTCCAAAACATAAATAATTAGGCATGTTTAAGAATTTTCGTTGTGCTATTGCAAATGGCGTATAAGTTGCTAAGATAAAAACATTTATAATTCCCGATCGTTTGCTGTAAATTGTACCCCTAATATTGGTATTTTTATTGGGCCATAGCGAAAACCAAAAAGAAATTTTATCTCATAGCAAAGTCGAGAATCATTGTTTCTTTTGCATCTGTCTTGGACTTGTTTCCGTTTACTCCTTGTAATTTTATGAACCAACGAAAAATATGTGCGGAAGACATGGTGTTATTACATAAAAGAAATCCGCATCCCGAACATTGGCATGCATTGTAGGAAAAATTGCTGCCATGACTGCCTGGATCTGTCTTTCTCTACACCTTATTAAATGGAAAAGGATTTTCACATTTTTTTTACCTGGGTCCTGAAACTTCTGTGGTACCAGAAAACACATTCGTTAACTGAAGATATGTCGTTTGATATCGGTTTTTCTGTTTTTATCAGTCGTACGCACACCGTTTTAACGTGTATAGGAAGTGTAGTAAGCACATTGGAATGGCCAAAGGATGAACTTCAAAAGCTAAGGAGAGTATTCAGAAACATAATATCTTCGTTAGAATCAAAGAAACGATTACTGAACTGGTGCAATCTCTTCAAAGAAACTAGAAGAAACAGAAATCTGCTTTTACAGGAGAACGCTGAGGATAGCATGGACCGAACATGTGAGCAACGTCGAAGTTCTAGAGATATTGGAAATAAAAAAAAGAAAAAATAATTAACATCAGACATAGAGAGCTGTAATTTCTAGGGTACAAAATGAGGAAAGAAGGCTTGAAAAATTTGATACTCAGAGGACATATTGAAGGCAAGAGAGGGACAAAGGAAAACGATGTGAGCTTGAGTAAATGGGTGGCGGGACAGGGCTTAGGAGAAATAACAAAAAGAAAAAAAATATTAATAGCTACAAAGGACAGGAAATTGTGAAGAGCCATGACCGCCTACTTCCCAAGAGGTCACGGTGCATAAAGAAGAAGTAGGACAGCCTAGTTGTACCAACTCTGCAAATATATAATCGGTTTGGCCTTGTCCCGATGGGAAGGACACACTTCGGTTTACACAATTCTGAATGTTTTTAAATTATTTGCTGTCTTTGCGATTCCTTTTGCACTGAGCGCTCGTAATATGCATTGTACTCCATATATAATCATCAATCTCCTCGAATTCAGGCCGGCTGGATTTTTTTTTTCTACATTGTTGTAAACCATTCACTTTTCATTGGCTTCGCTCTTATTTTTGTTGCGTTTGCGCAGAGAATCGAAACTAAATATTTTTTTCGTTAAATCCCGAGGCACCCAAAGATCGTCATGTGTTGTCAAATGTCTTCCAGCACTCATATGCGACATGTTGAGTATCCCAGCGACGTCCCGTGTCATGCTACCTGAATAATTCTTAATAAATGTTTCGATTTGTTCATCACCAAATCATTATCATTTACTGGAAGATTCCGTTTCTTACATTGATTGATTCGTTTTTTACGGCTTATCAAGCCTTTACAGTATATTTAAAGGCAGAAAATATTTTTGCATTGTAAGAAGTTTTTTTTGATAAGGAGTGCTTAGTGATACAAATCTTACTATTTAACCGATAGCTGGAGGAAAAGTAGCGAAGAAAAGAGCCAAGAATATTTCAACATAAGCGAATATAAAGAAAGCAACGAGAAATGGAACTCGGCACTCCAACTAACAATTTCAGGAGTAATTATCCATTACACCATCCGCACATCCAATCTTATAGCAGCTAGTATTCTCAAGCGGTCACGCATCTAGGTACTGACCAGGCTTAACTTGCTTAACTTCGGTCATCGTAAGGAAATGATGTAAACGTAAAACTGTTTTACAGATCAACATTTCGACAACCGAATCCAGTCAAATAGTTGCGAATAATACTCTCAGTTATGAAACTATCTCGGCATATATATATATATATATATATATATATATATATATATATATATATATATATATATATTGTATTTAGCAGAATTTTTTCATGGATGCAAGTTTCATTAAATAATATAGACAAGTTTTGTCTATTTATTTTAAGTATGTTCCTTTCATATTGTCTGATAAGCTTAATAACATTATCATTGAAAGATGAAAGAAAAACACCATATTGATACATGTTCTTCCTATCTCAGCTTTAAGCTTTCATAAGCCATTATCAAAGATCACAATTACATTTCAATATATTAAACAATAGACGGACAAAACAATACTGATGGTCTGTTTTTGTTCTATAATTGATAACAGAAGCCATTGGTTTATACCAACGGCTTCCCATACTTAACAATTCTCGTTTTCACTCTCGCGTGGTCATGTGTGACGTCATGAGCTGCGGTGAGATTTTTGCTTCCGCGTCTCGTATACACGAGATTGTCGCTTCTTGAATATCTTTCATGGGACATATATATATATATATATATATATATATATATATATATATATATATATTGGGGTCTGTGATATTGGGGTCTGTGCAGTGTTTTTCTGTACCGATAATAAACACCATCATATTATGAAAATGTATTTTATTTTCCTGCATTCAATGTATAAAAATTTACAATCCGTACACGAATCTTGTAGAAAGACATGTTGCAAAATCTTCTTTAGATAGATAGATATGAACAGACTGCGATAGATAGATAGATAGATAGATAGATAGATAGATAGATAGATAGATGATCAGACTAAGATAGATAGATGTGAATAGATTGAGATAGATGTGAACAGACTGCGATAGATAGATAGATAGATAGATAGATAGATAGATAGATAGATAGATAGATAGATATGAACAGACTGCGATAGATAGATAGATAGATAGATAGATAGATAGATAGATAGATAGATAGATAGATAGATATGAACAGACTGCGATAGATAGATAGATAGATAGATAGATAGATAGATAGATAGATAGATATGAACAGACTGCGATAGATAGATAGATAGATAGATAGATAGATAGATAGATAGATAGATAGATAGATAGATAGATAAGAAGTAATCATATGTCAAAAGCGAGGGGAAAAAATGTGAAATATAGAAAAATTAAAGGAAGGAAGGAATGAACGAACGAAAGAACGTACGAATAAAAAAGAAAGAAAGCAAATAAGGAAGAGAGGAATAAATAATAAAGGAAGAAATAAAGAAAGAAGGGAAGAATGAATGTAAGAAAGAAAGAAAAAAAGTAAACAAGAGAGGAATAAATAAATAAATAAATAAATAAAATAAGAAAGAAAGACTGGATAAGTTTTGCTACATACAGAAAAAAAGATTCAAATCGCCGCAAAAATGCTGCATTCAAATTGGATTTCTTCTCGTTTGAAATGCGTAAAAAAAGATTTCGCTTTAAGTATGCCATTAATGTCTTAGATGAAATAAAACGCCTCACGTGACCATATAAAATGGACGAAAATGGAGAAGAGTAAGAAATTTAAAGATCAACGAAAAAATATCTGTGAAAAACAGAATAACGTAAGAAAGAAAGAAAGAAAGAAAGAAAGAAAGAAAGAAAGAAAGAAAGAAAGAAAGAAAAAATATAAGAAAGAAAAGAAAAGTAAGATGCAAAAACCGCTAAACGAAGTAAAAAGCAACAAATTGCATAAAAGAAAAAAAAAGTTAGACGAGAAATAAAATTAAAGTGGATAAACGGGCATAAAAGAAAGAAACAAAGAAACAAAGGGAGTGGATAAGAAAGAAAAAACAAATAATTAAATAAAGAAAGAGAGGGAGTGGATAAGTAAGTAAGAAAGAAAGAAAGAAAGAAAGAAAGAAAGAAAGAAAGAAAGAAAGAAAGAACGAAGAGAGAGAGAAAGAACGAACAAATGAAAGAACGTTCAAAAGAAAGGACGAACGAAAGAAAGAGAAAATAAAAGAGAGAAAGAACGAACAAACGCGAGAAAGAAACGAACCAAAGAAAAAAAAAAGAAAGAAAAATAGGGAAAGGAAAATATACAATGCTAAAGAAAATGAACACTTTAAAAAAAACGTTTAAGACTGTTACTACCTGTTATAAAATCAAAAGTAAAGAAATCCTAACAAAAAAATGAATTATGAAATTTATCATCTAAGAAATACCGACAACTTAAGACTATTACTACTTTTGGTATAAAAGCTAGAGACTAAAAGGAAGGAAGAACAACGAGTCTGGAATGAATAATACTTGACAGAAATTATTCCAAGTAAAGCAGAAAAAATATAAATTATTTCTAGGAAGTGTGACAAAACGATAAATAATAAAGAAATATTCGTCAAGAAATAATATT